TGGATGGGTGTAGGGACAGATAGATGGATGATGGATGGATGGGTATAGGGACAGAAAGATGGATGGATGATGGATGGATGGATGGGTGTAGGGACGGATGGATGGATGGATGGCTAGATGAGTGGATGGATGAATGGATGGCTAGATTATGAATGGACTGATGGATGGATGGCTTCACATAGGTCAGAGAAGCAGGCATACAAGATGAACCCAGGGAAGTGTCCAGAACTGGGTAGCAAGTTATCTGATGTGCTTTGCTCTCCTTTTAAACCTGCTCTCATCTCCCAACTCCTTCCTTGCTCTCCCTCTTCCTGTCTGGAAGCCCAAGGAGGCTGCTGCCCAAGGTCTGCATTTACCGAGCCCCAGCTGGCATCCAGAGGAAGGCACTATGGCCCTGGGGACCACATCTCCCCGTCAGGGAGCCTTGTCCATGGGGCCACCTCTCGCAGCTCCCCGCAGCCTGCCGCCACTGTCTCAGGTGCATCGCCATCCCTTCATAGCGCCCTTCACCCCACCAGTGTCTGCCTGTCCCTTCATTCAGCTCTGCAGCCACAGCCTGGTGGGTGCTGTGTGTGTCCTGCCAGCACCCAGCCTGCCGCACCTGCCACGAAGAGCGCAGAGGCCACCAAGGGGTGACGACCCGAGCAAAGACAGGGTGACGCGTTGGAGGCGCAGGGCCGAGGCCCCACACACTGCTGCACAGCACCGGGCACCCGAGGCCTCTCCACCCTCCTGACATCAGGCACCAGGCTGTCCCCCACTGCACTAGTGAGGCCCCAGCAGCCAGACCCTGGCCTAGCAAGCATGGAGGCGGGGCCACTTGAGGACAGGAGGGTCTGGGTCAGAAGGCAAGTGGGCCTCCGGGGGCGGTGTGCGGGCCATGTTTCCTGAGTCCACTTTCTGGCTTCGTCCTTTCTAATCACTTTCTACATTCATTTTCTTATCTGTAAAGTAAGGATAGCCACAGTTCTTTCCTCACAATGCGGCTGTGGTGAGGATTAAATGAACTAACTTATCCAAGATAGTAAAACAACACAAGGCGCACAAGCAGTCAAAAAGCTAGCCGGGCACTGTGGTGCATGCCCTGTGGGAGGCTGAAGCAGGAGGATCACAGGTTTAACTACACTGTCTGGGAAATTCAGTGAGAACTTACCTCAAAATAGAGAAAAAAATAAAAGGCTGGGATATAGCTCAGTGTGAAGGCCTGGGTTCATTTCCCAGTGCTCCAAAAGAAGAAAACTTAGCAACTATTATTGTTATATCAGGTTAAAAGTAAGAAAGCAAATCTTAATATATTCAGCAAATGAGGAGGCATGAATTTTCTCCCATTATTTTCATCTCCCCCAGAATAAGAATATATAAAGAAAGGTTCCTACAAACAAGCCCAGATAAATAACATAACATGCTGTCACTGACAAAAGCCTTTGTAAAAACAGTGAATTTGATCTTAACTTGTTCCTCACAAGCAGAAGGCCCAGCCCAAGTGCACAGGCCGCAAACTCACCTGAGTGTGGCCCAGGTGTGCGGCTGCTGTGCAGAGTCGGGAAGACCCAAAAGCCAGCACAGCAGCTAGGGAGCAGGCTTCCTGCCAGCCCAATCCTGAGAACAGAAGCCGTGGCCATTGCAGTGGCACAGAACCACTTCCTGTCTCTGAGGAGG